GGTTGAGGGTTTAGGGGTTGGGGTTGAGGTTTTAGGGTTTAGGGTTTAGGGCTTAGGATTAGGGTTTAGGGTCGGGGTTTAGGGCTACGGTTTAGGTTTTAAAGTTTGGGGTTGAGGGTTTAGCGTTTAGGGTTTAGGGTTTAGGGTTTAGGGCTGGGGTTAAGGGTTTAAGGATGCAAACGGTTTCAAGAAGGATGCTGGAATTAGGGTTTAGGGTTTAGGGTTTAGGGTTTGGAGCTTAGAAGAGAAACCGACAATAGACAACTCACGGCAGAAGAAGAAAACATAAATTGGCGGTTTAGGGCTTAGGGTTTAGGGTTTAGGGCTAAGAAGAGCTCTTTCAACAAAAACCGAAAACGGCTTTAGGGTTTAGGGTTTAGGGTTTAGGGTTTAGGGTTTAGGGTTTAGGGTTTAGGGTTTATATGACAAGATTTCCCCTGCGTTATCTGATCAGGAAACGGGTCTGCGTTGCAGCGTCTGGCTGCTGCGTGCTCTGCTGCTGCAGCAGCAGCTGCTGCAGCAGCAGCAGCTGCTGCTGCTGCTCCTGCTGCTGCTGCTGCTGCTGCAGACTATGAAGAAGCTCTTTCCATCTACCAGTGGCTTTCTCACTTTTTGTCTTTTTGCAAAGCTCCAAAAAGCTCTTTTTACATTCAGCAAAAGGCCCTCAGTTTAATTAAACTCTCCAAACCCTCGCCAGTGGTGGCTTCCCTCCTCAGAGACATAGGCAAGGGTTTAGGGTTTAGGGTTTAGGGTTTAGGGTTTAGGGTTTAGGGTTTGGGGGTTGAGGCTTTCGGTCGTTGGTGCTTCGCGCTTGCTCGAGTAAAGTGAGCATGTAATTCCATTTACTTGGTATTATAATTTCTTCACCTTGAGAGTTTAGATCTAGGGTTTAGGGTTTAGGGTTTAGGGTTTAGGGTTTAGGGTTTAGGGTTTGTTTGGCGCCGCTGCAGGGGACACAGAAAGGCGAGCGGGCTTTGCGGAGTCCGCAGAGCAGTTCTACAACGAA